AGAGAGAGAGAGAAAGAATGAGGAGGGAAAAAAGGAAGCGTAATTTACGAGCTAACCTAATTCCATCGTTTTCCCCGTCAGTCGCTTTTATCAATCGCGCCGCTAAACTCATGTGGTGCCGATACGTTCGGGGGCCATTATCGAATCCCGATGTCGGGACAGGAAAAACATTAACTATCGACTGGGCATGCGTTTATCGAAACTTCTTTGAGTCACTCACCCAATGCTGCGTCGTTACCACCTCGCCATCCGCTCCGTCCAAGGCCTGCTGAATATAAACCAGTACGAGATCAGTTTCCACCCTGTTTTTACAAATTCTTTACGTACATACAGTGGTAGTTTACAAAGTTTTCGAAACAAGAATAATTTAAATTGCTCAACGTTCAAAAGTCTAAAAACTGCTGCTACCGCGAGCTACTAAATTTCATTTACAATAACAAGTTACTTCATGTACGTATTTAAATTTTAACTTCATCATTGAATCATCGTGCCCTACACGAACCGTAACTTAAATCTTCAAACAGAGGAAAGATACTTACGTCCTTCTTCCTCTTCACGGTTGCGGCACCTGAAACGAAATTCAACGATTTAACACTTCTATCTCTGGTCTTCTGAGACGATCTGTCAAAAAAAAAAAAAACGGCCTCGAAGAAGAGACGGGAAAGATAAAACTGACCGGCTGTCGAATTCGGTAACCGCGCTGCACCGTTGGTGCCGGCGGGTGCTGCAGGATTAGCAGCAGGGGTGGGTGTCCCCACGGAGGGCGGTACACCACGGCTCCCAAACGGGAAGTACGGCGAGTCCGGGGGGTAAGTGGCACCCTCGACACCTCCGCCGCCTCCATTTCCACCGCCACCACCGCCTCCGCCACCACCTCCCCCTGGCCCCCCGCCTGGCCCTCCTGCCGTTGGACCGAACGTTCCTCCGCCATACGTCTGCAAAAGCAAAATTGTCATCCTTACTCTCCTGTACAGTGACACATTTAACCCTTTCTTTCGCTACGAGCGCCGGATATATCCGGCATCCATCAAATGACCTGTGTGTACTTATATCAGAATTTTATATAAATGTCTTTTAATATTAAAACTAACGACATTTGTTAGAAGAAACATTGTTTCATTAAGCACAGTTCTTATTTAAGGCTAAGGAAAATCTTTATACACAAGAGTATCACGGCGAACAGAGAGCTCGTACCGAAAGA